AAAAAAAAAAAAATTAAAATAAGAGAGAAATGGTTGGAAGCCTGGCTCAAGCAGTAGAGCACCTGTGTACACAGGTGAAGCCCTGGGTTAAATCCCCAACACTGCAAAGGGGTGCAGGTAGAGGAGGGAGTTGTTTCCATTAGAAAAAAAAGTAACAGGAAGTAAGCTTTAACCTTCCTGCACACGAGAAGTTTGTCCTCATACACGTTCACACCAGGCATGTCTGACTGGAAGGAACATTCGCAAAGGAGAAGGCAAAAGTGTTTCTTGTTTGATGAGTGGCCTGGATCTGAGGCATGGCTGCACCTGCTAATAAGCACAATTGGTCCCACCTATACCCTACACAGGCAGAGCACGCAGAACCTGCTCTGGGGCAGGGAGCACCCACGCATAATTCTGGATATACAGCCAACAAGGTATGTGGGAAGGATGTGTCTGATGGCCAGGCTGTGCCTATAAGCTGTCACGTTGCTGGCTGGCTCCTGTTCCATCTTTCTGAGATAGAACAGAGTCAGGCCACGGAGTTGTTAACTCCTTGTCCAGATTCCTGCACGAAACTCTTATCTTGAATTATTTCACACAAAACACCATTTAACTTACTGTCCTTACAGATAACCACCATTTAGTGAAATGGAAGCTGCTTAGATAACACTGAAGTGGCCTTTCTTTCACCAAAGAACAGGAGACATTTTGTTTGCTGACTTAGTGAGACTTTATTTCAGACTGTTAATCACCCACCTGCAAAGGAGCGACGTTTTATGTTCAGCTCGTTGGCCACGCGGACTTCGGTGCAGAGTTTCAGCATCAGAAGCATGGTCAGGATCATGATTATGCTCTGCCACAGGAGCGGCGACTCAAAGTGCCGCCCGAACCTAGTGTGGAAAGGGTGTAGAGTCAGGAAGGAAGTGTGACTGGAGGCCCTGCTGGGGAACTGGTCCCAGCAAGCCCAGTGCCCCGGCACACCCAGTGCCGGAGAGCACGTGGCCCAACACTGCACTCCCACAACACCAACAGAAAGAGAAGGCAGCCGAACGAGTGGCTCAAACACCCGCAGCACTCCTGCCAGTCGCCTGACCTCCACGCGCTCCCCCTCCCAGCCAGGAGCTTCTGGGCCTTCCTTCCCACTGATCTTTAACCAGTCACACCTCTCACCAACTTGGCCATAGGTTTTGCCCCTAAAAGGCAAAAGTACCACCCAGCGTCAGGCCCAGCCTGAGGATCTCCACCTGTGTCCACTAGACCATGATGGGAGCCATGACACTCAGGACCTCATGCAGATCTAGTCCTACCCCTGGACTAGGAACCTTGGCTAACACTAGCTGGAAAGGTTGTTAGCACACTGAATTCAGATCTATACACAGCAAGGTTCCCGCCCTTTCCTAAAAACCGCAAGCCCCACAAATGCCCTGAAGTACCTTTAGTCCTCCCCAGTCCCATCACCTCCCACTCAGAGGCCGGAGGCCTGAGTTACCTAAGGGAATGGTAGGCAGCTGAAGGCTGGCTGATTGCTACAGCTCTAGAGCCAGCACTTAGCAGCCACAGGCCCTTATCAACACAGGCCTGCGAACACCACCACCACAGGATGAATTAGCAGCTGGGGCAAGTATAGTAAGGTCTTACTGACCCAGGGCTAACACCAAGCTTGCTCAGGGGTAACTATCCCACCACACCATCCACCTGGCTGCAAAGATAAAGAACTCACCAAGGCAGAAGAGTCTGTGAGACTTATCTCCAATAAACCACCAGAAAACCCGGAGTGGTGCTGTGGCTCCACATGGTAGAGTGCTAGCCTTGAGCAAAAGAGCTCAGGAACAGCGTCCCACAAGTTCAGGCCCCACCACTGACAAAAAACAAGTATTCCACAAGACAGTTGTAGTGGTGTGTGCCAGTAACCCTGGTACTCAGGAATTTGCAGTCCCACCAGGTCAGCCTGAGCCACATAGCAAGACCTTGTCTCAAAATAAGAGCAAAAAAGTAGCTTTCTGATAAATGAACCAACAGTCTGAGTAAGAAGTCAGGTGAACATCTCAGTCACAGTAGCCTCAAAGCAAAACAACAAAAAAAGCCTGGGAAGAGATCTTATAACTAAGGAGACAAAAGACTTCTATAGTGAAAACTACAAAACGTGGAAGAAAACAGTAGACTATGGAAAGACCCCCCATGCTCATGGATTGCCAACATTAATATTGTGGAAATGGCTGAAAGAAATCTACAGATTCAAAAGTCTCCACCAATCACCATGCCATCAGTCACAGAAATAGAAAAATCAATCCTAAAGTTTGTATGTAAACATAAAAGACCTCAAACAACTAAAGAAATCTTGAGTAAGTAGAATAATGCTGGAGGTATCACAATACTTCAAACTATACTACAGAGACACAGTTGCAGAAATAATATGGTACTGGCACAAAAAGCAGCGTAGACCCTGAGTTGCCAGAGCCTCAGATAAGTCCACACAGCCACTGTTGTGCAGTAATTATGCTTTAAATCGGATATAAATCCAGTCCCAAGAAAAAGGGAAGCCACATTTTGAGAGGTCCAATTTTGGAGTCTTTATTGGAGCACTAGCAGTCTGCAGTCCTTAGCCCTGAACATAGCTCGCACCAAGTTTTTAAAGACAAAGGTCACATGTTGGGTGGAGACCAAGCATCAGCAAAGCCTGAGACAAACCAGCCCCAGAGCTGGGCTCCCCAGGGCTGGTCAACTTGTTTGATGTATTCACATTTCCTCAAGGCTGCCCCTCTGCCTCTCCACCCCTCCCGGCTCTGCTAACTGATCCAGGCATCTGCAATTCAGAGGAGGGCTTTAGTCACTTTTAGTCCTTGGAGCTGGGTGAACAGTACCCCATCTCCTGACTAGGTCCAGGATATGTGAAACCAACAGCACCCAGCACCTGGACAGAAGACAGGATGGCTCACGAACATTAAAGACAGGCTGTGCAACAAATGGTACTGGGAAAACTGTCTGTCTACATTCAGAACACTGAAACGAACCCTGCCTCTCACGAGCTGAATAGCAGATGGATCAAAGATCTGAATGTAAGACCTGAACCTTTGAAACTGCTACAAAGAAAGCATAAAGGCCCAGGCAGAGGCCATGACATTCTGAAGAGCACTCCAGGTGCTCAGGAAATAGGAGCAAAACCTGACAAATGAGATGGCATCAAATTAAAATGCTTCCTCATGGGGTGTTGGGCACTTAATGTCTGTAATCCTAGCTAAACAGGAGACTGAGATCTGAGGATCATGGTTTGAAACCAGCCTGGGCAAGAAAATCCTTGAGACACATCTCCAATCATCCACCAAAAAGCCAGAAGTGTAGCTGTGGCTCAGGTGGCAGAGTGCTAGCCTTGATCAAAAGAGCTCAGGGACAGTACCCAGGTGGCTCTGAGTTCAAGACCCAGGACTGGCAAAACAATTTTCAGAATGAAGAGACATCCACAGAAAGGTAGACAAACCTTTAGAAGATATTCATGTTCACTTGAAAAAGTATTAACAATCAACTGTTCAACATTCTTAGCCATATAGGACATGCAAATCAAAATAACAGAATCCATCTCAGCCCAGGAAGAATGACAGTCAAGAAAAGAAACAGCAAAAAAAAAAAGAGAAAAGAGAAAGAAATGTACTCATTATCTTGCCCATGTAATTGTAACCCCTCTGTACAGTATTTTCACAATAAATAAATAAAGCTTGAAACAGCAAAAGCTGGCAAGGAAGTGGTGGAGGGAGGTACTTTATGCTCTGTTGGTAATAACGTAAATGAAGGCAGACACATTGGAAATCAGGATGAAGGGTCCTTAAAAAAGAATAAGCCAGCCAGGCGCCGGTGGCTCTAGCCTGTAATCCTAGCTACTCAGGAGGCTGAGATCTGAGGATGGATGTTCAAAGCCAGCCCTGGCAGGAACAACCGTGAGACTCTTATCTCCAATAAGCCACTAGAAAACCAGAAGTTGCGCTGTGGCTCAAGTGGTAGAGTGCTCGCCTTGAGCTGAAGAGCTGAGGGACAGCGCCCAGACCCAGAGTTCAAGCCCCATGACTGACAAAAAAGAAAAAAAAGAATAAGCCAGGCTTATTTAATTTTATAAGTGAGCCTTAGTATAGGCTTGCACCTGTAATCCTAGCTAATCCTACCATTTGAAGCCAGCATAGGCTTCTCTACTCCAGCAAAAAGCTGAGTTTAGCCAGTAGCTGGTGGCTCATACCTGTAAACTTAGCTGCTTAGGAGGATGAGATCTGAGGATTAGTTCAAAGCCAGTCCAGGGAAGAAAAGTCCGTGAGACTCTTATCTCCAATTAACTAACAAAAAGTTGGGGGTGAAGGTGTGGCTCAAGTGGCAGAACACTAGCCTTGAGTAAACAAAGCTCAGGGATGGCACCCAAGCCTTGAGTTCAAGCTTCAGGACTGGCACCAAAAATTTGGGGCTCTCATGTCAAGAGTGTCTGCTGAGCAATGTGTGAAGCCCTGGGTTCAAACCCCTGTACTAGCAGAAAAGAGGGGCTGTTCATGACTGCAATCTCAGTTTCCTATGGGCACAGATGAAGAGATCATGGTTTAAGGCTAGTTCGGCCAAGTTATCGAGACCACATCTCAACAAAAGAAAAGTGGATATGGTGATATAGGTCCTTCACTGCAGCCACAGGGAAGCGTAAGTAGGAAGATCACTTCTAGGAGCTGCTCTTGCTGTGTCTATCACACGATCACACAATGCTGAGACGGGAAAGGCGGCATGTGGTGCTGCTTCCTAGCAGGCCAGCATCCCAGCAAAAATGAGGCACTTGGAGAAAGCCAAGGCTTGTGTTCCTCCTTGTGCCACTCCCTAAATCAGAGAGCTTCGGGTTCACAGTGGAGAAAACAGTGCTGAAAACTAGCAGATCTGAGTGTTTAGCTGACAAGATAAAGACAACCTAAGTAGGAAACAAAATTTAAAAAAAAATCCACAACTTTCCCCCAAAGATGCACAAAAAGGCCACAATAAATAGGAACTGTATTCAATACTACTAAATTTTTTAGGGTAACAAAGGAAAGATGTCACCTCTTCCTAAGTGTAATGACAGCTGCCTGTCCTAGCAAGGACATGTGGGCGGTGGGTGGGCACAGCACCTCTGGGAGCGGGCAGCACCCTCCCCCAACCCCCCCCATCCACAGGCTCTTGAAGACACGGGGATACGGCAGCCCACGTGGAATCACACTGTGGGTACGTACAAGGTCTGACCAAGTCTAGCATTTGGTTCTACAGAGAACAACTTCTGTAAGTTCCAAAGTAACAAAGAAACTGGGGTGGAAGAGAAACTCTGTGCTCTAGCCTATGCAATATGAGGCCAACATCTCCAGCAGAGCATTACCAGACTGGACACAACCAAGACATCCCCAACAAGAGCATTACCACAGACTGGACACAACCAAGACATCTCCAGCAGAGCGTTACCACAGAGTGGACACAACCAAGACATGCCCAGCAGAGCGTTACCACAGACTGGACACAACCAAGACATCTCCAGCAGAGCGTTACCACGGACTGGACACAACCAAGACATGCCCAGCAGAGCGTTACCACGGACTGGACACAACCAAGACATGCCCAGCAGAGCGCTACCACGGACTGGACACAACCAAGACATGCCCAGCAGAGCGTTACCACGGACTGGACACAACCAAGAGCCCAGGCCAGCAATGGCTGAGGCTGAGCGTCATAGCCTGTACCCCATCAGAGTGAGACCCAACAACTTAGCTGTGGAGTTCCTGAGGCTCTGAGCCCTGGCCCTGTGGTCTACCTATTCACGCACCCACCCTGTCTCTCTCCACTGCTAATGTAAGCAGGGTCTGGCAAGCATTCACTAGCTATAAGGACCCCATGGCCCCACACTTTTCTGACAACACAAATGCCAAATCTTCCTATGGGCAGGTGTTTTCACGGAGTGTGACCTGAATAGAGCAACAGGACAAGAATCTGAAAAAGAAAGGGCAAGAAAGCTACTAAGTTTCTGAGTGAGCCCCTTCCTGTTCCTGCAGGTTCTGGGCCTAGGAAGAGGGTTACCTGGTCTCAGGGGAGCGGAGCTGAGGGCTGTCATCCCAGCCTACCCTGCAGAACCCACAGCCACACGTGTGCACACACCCGTGCCAGGCCCTGCTCCTGCCAGAGCAGCCCTGGCACCTCAGGCCAGGCCTGCACCTCGGGAAGCCGTGGCACCGTGAAGTCAGAGTGCTGACCTGAGAAGTGAGGCCACTAGAGACAGAGGCGCGAAAGATGGTCCCATCAGGTGAGCAGCAGGGTCTAGAGAGGAAGCAGCATGCTGGGAGCTGCTCACACTTCGGTCGCCTTCATCCTGTGAGGAGCAAGGAAGATGCGCCCCGGCAGCTCCAGGAGAGGCCCTGGCCCTCTGCCCCTCTCCTCCTCTTCCTTCCCGGGCCTCTAGGTCACACAAGGGCCCGGGCGTCCGTGTGTCCTTCTGCGAGCAGCCGGGGGCCTGTGTGGCTCGAGCGGCTTCAGGTGTGGTTTTGCAGAAAAGGGACACGGTGGGCAGGGCTGCGCTCGGGTGCGGCCCAGAACCGGCCTCCAAACAGATGCTCGGCGCCACGGTGCCCAGAGGGGGGAGCCCTGGCCGGGGAGCCCCGGGGACGCAGTTTCAGGTTCTTCTCCCCGACTCCGCAGACCCTGACCCAAGTGTCGCGTGTCCCGTGTGACTTCGCAGTGAAACGCGGCGCCTTTCCGCGGGAGGAGAGCCCAGCGGCTCCCCACCACCGGGGCCTGAGACCCGGGGAGCCCAGCGGCTCTCCACCACCGGGGCCTGAGACCCGGGGAGCCCAGCGCGCTCTCCACCACCGGGGCCTGAGACCCGGGGAGCCCAGCGGCTCCCCACCACCGGGGCC